TCTAAGTTTCGAAGGCTTTTTGACTTCTGCTCTCACAGGTTCATTTTTTATCGGTCGTAGGAAGCCAAACTTGACCTACCAACCAGTTTGTTTTAAATAGGATACTTGTAAAGTATTGACCTTTTAGCAGAGTGGAAACAAAAGAGGCGCGACCTTGTCAATTGGACCCACGTGCGGTCGGATAATACCACTTGTAAGGTGTTGACTTGTAAACAGAGGGAAAACAAAGGAAGCGCCGGCTTTGTCAATTGGACCCACCTGTAGTCAGACGTTAGACCGTTTGCCATATAGTAAACAACTGAATGTAAACAAGTGGCGGACGTTTATGTAAGCTTCACTCTCATCGGATGACGGCGGACCCGAGTGTTCGGGCAAGAAGGGGTTGTGACTGGTCGGAAGTCCCCATCCAAAAAACTCTTAAATTGCGGGGCGAACGAGAGAGGAGGAGAGAAGGGCAAGAGACTGGTACACAGTAGTCTCAGGCACTTGGAAGGCCCGCTGAGCGTAGAGAGAGTATTCTCCTCTGGTAAACATCTCAGGAACGGGTTAGTGCAGAGACTGGGCTGACCGTGCAGTTGAGCCAACTTCACGAGCTGACTGAGGCCTCTTCAAAGTTTAAAAGTTCCCAGAAACCAAGCTAGTACGCGAGTCGCCACGCATTGTTATCATATATTTACAGATTTCTACGTATAGAAATCTGTAAATAAACTGTAAATATTATCAATTTGAGTGTGGAGGTGTGCTTTCCATCGAACCTGGATCACTACATCGAATCATGATACACACGGAAACCAACTCAACGAGACGGAGTTGGGAAAGAACATCATAAGATCTTCACTATACTGATGAGTATCCTGTTTGAAACAAACTGGGTGGCAGAACCAGCTGACTTTTGGCAGTGGTTGTCGGTCCTACCAAGCACATCCTTCGGCTTTCCGAGTAGGAAACACACGACTAATCGCTCATGAAATTTTATCGCCAAAACTGCTGCATGCAGCCTCCGATATGTGGAGGCACACCGTCTTGCATGAAAGCAATTGGCTTGAGGCATTGTCGCTGTTGCAGTTAAGATACAACAAGAGTGATGAGCATCTCTGTCTGTCTTGAATCATCACAAAGCAATTTACAGGCTCGTTAAAACTAACTTCTTCAATAAACAGTGGTCCAAGGATAAATGTGACTGTAAATTCACACCAGACTTTAATTTTAGGCAAGTCATTGAAATCTGCTAAAAGCATGAAATTTCTCGTGGTCCAGTGCGACAGTTACATGTGTTCACTATTCCGTTGAGGTACAAATGTGTCTCGTCGCACCACATGGCCTTCCATGGTCACGACACATCCGCTTCAATGCTGGCAAGGAAAGGTCAGTTGGGTTTTCCTGTCGGCGGCAAGAAACTGTTTGTTGTAGTTAATCTTGCACGAATAACAAGGCATGAATTTTAATACTTTCTGCACTGTGGCAACTATCGTGACTCTGCAAATACGAGACAACGAAATTACGATAAATATTGCGATTAGTGTTTTTCATTTCCCGGATTTTGTTTGTCCCGGGATTCCGGGATAAAAGTGAACTGTCTCCCGGGATCCCGGGAAATCCCGGGACAGAATTAATTATTTTTAAGATGTACAAAATGTCATGAAATCAAATGATGTAATTATTTTTCATTTTTTAAAGTAATTTAATACGTTCTGCAACCTCCAAAATCATGTTAATAATGCTGTATAAGATATATATTAAAAATTACCTTTGAATTACGTAGAAATTTTCACAAATAGAAAAAATTTATTAATGTTTGCTGGAAACTGCATAAAACAACAACAACAACAACAACAAAACGCTTTGAATTGAGTTGAAAATTTAAAAAAAATGAACTTAGATCAAACTTCTAACTTAAAAGGCAATTTTCGTTTTTTAAATAAAACATAATACAAAATATTATTGTAAATTTTTATAATAAGATTTTAAAAAGCAAAGATGGTCAATACTCCGATCAGTCAATCTGATTCTTATTTTAGTAATGAAAAGTCCTGCTACCGAGAATGTCCTTTCCGATGTAATTAATGTTAGTGGAATCATCTTTAATATATTTAAGACAAGACAGATGTTATATGTTTTTTTCACTTGTATCTTGGAAGATTTCGAGTTCGTTTTAGATGTTGCAGTACTTCTTTTGCTGTCTAGTATTCTTGATTTGTCTACCTCGGCTGTTTTAATAGCGGCATCAAGCTTATAGCCCGATAATTCGGCAATTCGTTTGGCTTTAATAATCAGATTTATGCAGATAAACTTCATACTTGCAGACTTCGTACTCGTTTGTATCCTTGCCCAATTTGCGCAACCTGGCGTTACGCAGTTATCGAATCTACCGGGCATGGTTAAAATAAGCACAATTGTTCCAGATATTACAGTTCCGACAAGTAAAGAATTTTCAGAGTCCTGCCACAAATAAGCTACAAACTGATTATTGACCATTTGTGACATGCCATAACGAACAAAAATAAAAAAAAACTAATAAGTAGGTTTAAAATTAATAAATACAAATGTATTCTGACAGTTTGTGAGTTAATTATACTTTCCATTTGCAAAATTTCCTCAACCTTAACACAAAATAAGAAAAAAGTGAATTTTTAAGAAATTTGCGGGATTTTCCGGGATATTTCCCATGTTAAAAAAACAACCGGAATCCCGGGATCTCGTTTGAGAAACCCTAATTGCGATGTAATTGCTGCAATTGTCGATTTATTATGGAATAATTTACTTTGTAAGGTTGTCTCTGCAATGGAAATAGATCCTGGTGATTGGACATGGCAGGCAAAATTGGACTTGTATCCATTTGTGATTTATTTTACTTTTTATTAAAAAAGAATAATTTACTATTAAAATTAATTTTGTATAAACGTTTGTTTTAGCAATAAGTTATATGTATATATTAAAATGAATATATCATTATTTAAGATAAATATTTAATTAAATCTATAAATTTATTGAAGGATATTTTTATTCATAGTTTGCTTTAATGGTAAGACGTTTCGAATAATAAAACTTTCAGCAGAAGTTACACTTTGTCAAAACTTGTCATCCAATACCGAATATGGCGTTGCTTCTATCACGTTTCTTTGCATTATTGTCTGGTCCAATCCGTTTTTTGTTGGACAGCATCTATCACCGCGAAAATTTCATATCGAATATATTTGTAAACCAACAGATCCCGCGACATCTCTTCTTTGAATAAGCGACCAAACTAACTATAAAACGATTTATTTCAAGAATAACATTCTCTGGCAAGATTTATCTTCTTCATAAAACGGGAATTTTATCGTATAAAGAGGAAATTCCAGAACATTCATGTAAAGAACTAGAGACCATCTCTTTGTATTGTTATTGCGTATGTCGCCTTTGAATTTTTATTCCACGTATCAAAACCCTAACTTATATTGTAACCTTAAGTTCTGTTATGCAATTTCTTTTCTGAGAAGATGCTGACGTTGAGTAAATCGATATTTTTATTACATAAATTATTTTGCAACCTAGTTATTAAGAACTTATTGAAATATTTGAGTCTTATTTAGTTTGTTTTGAAATCTTTAATTGGATATTTTTTAGAATATATGTCATTCCAGCTGAGTATGAGAAGCTTCATATCCTATGTTTCTATCATATTTTAAAGTTTATCCAAGTTTTTCCATTCGTTTTAATTCTTTTATCTAACAAGATAAAAATTTTGCAATGTCAAATATCATTAGTAATGACGTGATAGCAAGATACTTTTTTCTCTTGGATCTTTGTTTCCTTAATTTACAAATCAGTTGCATTAAAACGGAAAATTTATATAAATTTACCAGATATATGCCCACAAAAAGACTTCTAAAACTCGATAATGAATTCCAACTAAAAACTAAAATGCAAAACCTAGGAATATACAGTTGCTGTAGGAATGGAATGATTATCATTCCGATCCTGTAGCATTCATCTAGAGATGTGTGTGTTTTCTGTTGATAGAATTTTCTAACAGAAAACTTGCGCGTGCACAAAAATACACCTACAAACAGTAGAATTTCAAAAGTTTTCAATATTCCCAATAGATTAATATTGTATACATTTACAAAAGTGAAAAAATATTGGAGTTAAGAAATATTTTTCTATAATATATTAATTTTCCTCCTCTCCTGTTATATCAAAAAACTACTTCTAAATCATAAGTGTCTCCAACTATTCACCCTACGATACTTATATAAATATATAAATGATAATTTTCCTCGTATATTTCTATGATATTTTAAATGAAAAACAATTTTAGAGATTCATAACAATATTGCATAATATGATATACAATTGTTTTCCATTTATCTAATATAAAGTATATAGATTCAAATAATCAAAACTATTCATTATATAAGCCACGAATAGACGTATTTTTTACATTAGAACTGCATTGGTTTTAATATAAATAACGTTGCCGTCAGAGAAGAAATTGTTTCCTATTTTTGGCATATTTTTGGAAAAATAAGAAGATTAAATTGTTTTTGTCTTTTCTCTCTATCTCTATCGATTTCCTTTCTATTATTTATACAAAAATGTCATTTGATATATTTTAATGGAATTTAAAATATTTAAATAGCTTTTCTATGAAAGGGAATACATTTTCTTTTACGATTATCAAAATAGAACAGTAATAGAATAACTGTACATCATATTATAATATGATATATAAATTTATTTTATTCTAGAGATAACTTGTATATCATTACATTAATAATTCATATCTCATATATAGTTAGTGATTATTTATGTCTCATCAACAGCCACTAAGTGATATAGAAAGTACAGTCAATGCCCCATGTGTATATAGTTCCTGGTTTATTTTTGGTTGATTAAGCGTAATTTCTTGATTTATGTTTATAACATTGTTTATAATATTATATTTTATTCATTAAAACTTTATTTGTCTGTATTATTTTAATAATATCACAAGAATATGAATTTCTTATCTGTTATAGACAGACATTGCCGAAGAAGATGCATCAATTAGGGTGTTAACCTTAGAAAATGACTGCGAAGAAGAGAATTCCGATTGTCACCAAATTCATCAAATTATGCCAAGAGTACAAGAAGAGTCCAAAGAAAACGATATTGAAATGGGCTCTTCTCTTGATTCTTATGCAAGATTTCTCTTCCCCTTAATTTTCACTATAATTAATATTTTATACTGGACATTCTTCCTATACATTAGCGATGACGATACTCATCCCGATCATTCAAACATTAAACAAAATATATTACTCCATACGTAGAAGTAAATTATTTAAACTTATGTATAAAAATCTCATTCGAAAATTAACATTATGTGTGATAATAAGGTATGAGAATTACCTTTAAAACGAAGTTTTATAAGAATAAAATAAAAAGAAATAAATATCAAAACAAGAAAGAAAATAAATTAAATATTATAATTATGAAAAATGTTACTTTGTAATTAATTTAATTTAAATAGGGTAATAATAAAATTTACATAAAATGATTAGCTCAGAAATTAAAATTAACACCTGTTTTCTTCCTATCAAGTACTGTTTTGTGAAAAAAATTGTAAATTATGACATCATATTTGCAATATTTACTGTAAATTTAAATTATTTCATGAAAATTATACTAATTTCGAACATTAAAATCACATTTTTTCCATAAAATTAATGAAAATGACCATAAATGAATATGCAAATTATAAATGAACAAAAAGGACTCTGCGTTAACGCCAAGTATAATAATTAAATTCAAATCATTTATATTCAAAGTGGTAAAATGTGTTGTTTTTATGTGAAATTTTATCTTTATTACTTTTTTAAATTAATTTTTTAATAAAATTTATACCCTTTGCAATATTTCTTCATGTGAAATATGCAATTTGAGTTCGAAAAGTTTATAATGAGCACACAATTGCTTGTCATTTATGTTACTTTTGTTGAATTTACTACACTAAATAACTCCAATAATTACGGGTATTCTATTAAAAAAAATCTATAATTATGTATTAAATTATTTCAAAATTTCTACGAAGTAAACAGCATTTAAAATATCATTAAATACACACTAAAACAACTTATAATTTGTATTTATTAAATTACAAATAACTTATAATTTCATTTAAATTAACATTAACTTATTAAATAATTCTTAAAATAATTTTATTGCATTTTCTACCATGCATAAATAATACCAACGAAATTCGAATAGGTCTAATATAGACAGTTAATTTTTTTAAAATCATTTATAAATAATATTATTTTAAAGTAAACTAACTTGAAAATTTTCAAGTACGATAAGAATAAAATCAAATCTAAAATATATAAAATTAATAATTTATATGATATATTCTCTATATAAGCTGCCTCATGTTGTCTTTGCCTTATAAACACTTTAAAGTAGTTTCATTAAGAATAGTTTAGTCTCTAATTTGCACCCTTTCTCTTCAATTATACTTAAATATATATATTAAAAAGTAATTTTATATTTAATAATGTAATCACATTAAAAAAAAATTATGTTTCTGCTCCACACTAATGGAATAGAGAGAGGGGGGAGGGAAAAAATACAAATTTATCACACACCTCATTAAAAAAAATTAATAAAAATATGTGTATAATGTATATTTTTTGCTTTTTTTCGTGTAAATTTCTTGTTTATTTATTGTACTCTTTGATTTACTTAGATAGAAATTTTATACTTTTGCACTGCACTTTGCATATTAGATACAGTTTTTATAAATACATTTTAGACTATTATGAGCATTAGTCAAACTTTTTACAAAATATAAATAATAAAAAAAGCCTTTAAAACATGTTTTAAAGATTTTATTTTAAAAATAAAAGCAATAATTCACTAATAACGTTGTTGCATTGTTCGCAATCAGAAAGTATCTAATAATTTAAAAGTTAATTAGAGGAAAAAAAGATCTTAAAAAAATATTTTTTATTTTTAACATATTTAATTTTAAATTTTTTAATTTATTAATTATAAATAAGAAAATTTAAATATATAATTGTAACTGTAACATATTTTATTAAGCATTGTAAGATGTACCACAGAAAAATTTCATATATTATGGAATAATTGTAAATAAAATTCAAAAATATTATTTGTAAATTGATTTAAATAAATAAATAATAAAAAACAAATTTATTTCATCACAAAAATAAATAAATTTTAGAAAAAGAAATGTTTGTTATTTTAATTTAAACTGAATTCAAATATTTTTTTATGAAATTACATAAATTATTAATTGTTTACCTTTTCTTTAAAATGAAATACCGAAAGAAAGTCTAAAGATTTTAAGTATAAAATTATTATAAAATTATTATTTATTATATTATATACCGGTACTAAATAGATATATCACTTTTTATTATATTCAATCAAATTAAATAAATCTCTACTTTATTCCAG